GTGTCATAAGTTAAAAACATGTAATTTTAAGTAAAATGATTTATTTTCAAATACACATCGAATTTACCATTGTTTCCACCATTAAATTACTATCAAATATCAATAAATATTAATCTTAAAAAAATTCCTCAACTCCATTACAAAATATTCTGAAAACAATTTTTTTAAAACTTTTTATACTTTTTTTTAGTTAATTCCCATAGGGGTATCAATTGAACGTTTTGTTGACAGAAGACTAATAAGTTAAAAAGTTAACTTTTCAGGATACAAAAATATGACTCATTACCAATTTTTAATGATAAATGACAATTAAATTTTATGATGTTTGTAATTATGACTTTGATGTGATATATTGTCACTTGCATCCATTTTTTAATATTTACTTACTTTCCAAAATAATACTTTAGCTAATAAAAATACAAGATATATCTATTAAGTTTCTCACTACATTAAAAATAGAAAGCCATTAAATTTGTTTTGTCTATAGTTACTAGAGATATCTTATTTTTTTAGAAGTTTTTGTATTATAAAAATCATTCTTTTCGGCATATAAGATGTCCGTTCGCCTGAACACAACATATACTATTTAGAGAAAAATGAAAGAAAGAAATAATTTTATCATCATAAAAATTTTACACGTAATTGTGAAAATGAATTTGTTGTTTAAATACATTGATTAAAAGTATAGCGATTCAGGTACATAGTCCTTCATATTTTATAATGTAAATTATAATTAAAGCATAGAAACAAAAATATTAATAAATGCTAAATACGAGTAGCTATATATTTGAAATAAAATTAAAGAGAATTACAAAAAGTTAGTAGTTTTTTATGGGTTGAACTCATAAATTTTTTAAGCACAATAACTCGAATTATTACAAAGCATAATAATTTACTATTATTATGCGAAACAAAGCTAATTTCAGTGCAATAAAGTTCATAATATTCTACAGCTTTTTTGACATAAAAACATTTGAGTAATGAATCTGACCGATTTAACAAAGTTTCAAACAAGGCGAAACACATTATAAAAATTTCGTCGATAACATTAAATTAACTTGGTTTTTTGTCAATGATTAATACAAAATGGACTTTTAACTAAATTTTTAAATCTTTCCATTTATAATAACAGTGGAATGAACTCAGTATATTTAGGAACAGACTTTTATAGTTTTGATTACTAAGCAAGACGGAATAATACATCAAAAGCTAATTAAAACGATGTTTTAAAACACAAATTATAAAAAGACATCGTTAGTAAAAGTTTTAAAAATTTATGTAAAACGAAAAACCTTCTGGTTGGTAAAAATACGAAAATGTATACAAAATAGAAACCCTTATTCTTCAATTATAATACCGTTTTAGTATGTGCATATTATTTAATCAGCATCCGCCGACCAACCCTATGAAAATTAAATGTACAAACGGCGCTAACGTTTGTATAGAAAAGGAAATACTGGAACTTTGTTTCCATTTAAAGGATGCGGAAACCACAGAGTAATTAACGGTAAATAGTGTGTTTTTTTAAATTATTATTATTAATTAAATGGATAACCTAATAAGTATCGTCAAGAATCGCCTACTTAAATATTTTTATAGATGTACTCTTTATAATTATGTTGAATAATTAAATAATCTGTAAAGTGTAGTCTCCATCGAATTGGTTAAAATATAGGAAATACATTATTGAAATAGAAACATTTTTCACAAGTGTACTATAAAGTATTCCTTAGAAGATTATCGATGAAAGAAATTTCTAAATGAAATTTCAAATAATCATTTAATCTACATTTCTATTCTTCATTTTTTATTTGTAAAAATATTTAAGGTGAAATTGTAATAATATTCATTAATTTTAAATTTCGATTACTCGGGACGGTAAATCATTATGACTTAGTTACTGGATTACTCAATGTCCTGTTCTATTTTTCAGTATTTGACTATTACACATATATCTTGACTTTTAAAAAATTAGACTCAGTGTTATTAACCATATTAGGATTCATGCGTATAAAGCTCAAAATGATTTGTTCTAAATCGTGTCAAACAAACATAATCTAGTAAATCATGTAATTTTAACAGCAAAACATATCTTTTGATTAGATGCGTGGGTGTTCTAGACGACAAAATACGACTTCATTAATGCTTTGGCTGGCACCAGCGAGAAATGCTACAAAACTGCTTTGTAGCCAATTTGTTCATATTCTCAATTAAGATTGTTAGTGCGACTATGATTTAGTTTTACAGTGTTAAGTACACGCATAACAAATATTCAATTAATTAAATTATAGAAACTTATACAACCCATAGGTCGAATATCTAAATCAATGTTTAAAAGTTTTAATGGCTCAGTAATTTTCAAATTAAAAACATAATTTAACGCATTTTCTTATAAGAATTTAATTTGGTGCATTTAAAAACAATAATTTATTTAGAACACGAGTAAAAAAACAATTGTAATACAATATTTCATAAATAAATTTCAAAAAATTTGAATGTAATTACACTACAACGTAATTACTAACATCTAAGCAGTGTTTTTGTTCATCATGTTATCCTTTACTGTAAAAATAATACATAACAAAGAATTAATAAAAAGAAGTATTTTTATTAGTGAACTATTTATATCACTTTGTGTCAATTATAATTTTCTTTTACGCCTCGTAAATAAGAAAAACCACAACATTCTCTACAAAAAATAAATAATTGGATTTATGAATAGCATATTTAGAATAGCAAAATTTTAAATTGAAATATTAACTCCACGGTTTAAGTTAGGACTAGTGTGTATTTCTCTAAATTTAATTTTAATTTAAATGTCTCTAAATATTTCATTGGACATCTATGATACTAAACATTGCAAACCAATAATAGTAAACAGAAGTTGCCATTTCAGAAAAATAAGACAAACTTGATATAAGTTTAACCAATTGCAATACACTCTCATAAAAGAAACGAAATCAATATATTTACTCATGAAGAATTGATTTTTTATAAAACAAATAACTCATTTAAAATTAAAAATGTAATTTTAAATGAATTCTATATGAGATTGTTTTTTATTTAAAGTTGGTTTATTTCAGTAAATACTGAAATAAAATGTAAAAAATACACTGATTGATTTCAGTTAAAAATTTTGGAACGTGGCCCTCATACTTATTTATAAATATAACATAGTTTGAGCTATTGGAAATTAAAAATTTAAATTTAAAAACAATATATACTTTCTATAAAATTATTCACAAAATAAACAATTTGAAGTTAATGAAATATTTAGACTTCAATACAATCTGAAATTTTGCAATTTTATCAAACAATTTAAAGCATTTATAAAGAATTTATAGAAGTTTATGAGTAAATGTTCATTATCATAAGTTATGCAACAACTGTTTTACAATTTCATTACTTGTAAGATATAAGAATAGAAAAAGAAATAACTTTGGGGGAAAATAAATCAATAACAAATCTAAGAGAGGAAAAATGAAATTAAAGATTTCCATTGAAATTTTATTTTTCTCTCTGACACTTATTGAAACAAGAACAAATGTTAAAATATTTTTTAATACATTTCAAATTAGACAATATATTCTCTGCACTTCTTCTCTTTTCGTTCTAAATGGAACCCAATATCCGTTTTGTTAAAAATATTTCAATTTTCTCACTGGAAGATAAGTTTTTGCACCAAAAGTAATTTAGAGAAAAGTAACAAAAGCTACTCGGTAGATTTGGTTGTAGATAGTGAAATGGTCACAGTAAAAGTGCATTATTAAATTCTAAAGTAATTTTATCACTCATAAGAAAACCTTTCGATGCAAAACTTTTTAAATATTTTTTGAACATATGACTATATAGTTTTCAACTATAAGAAGATACTTCCGTTTTACCATTTTTTAGGACAAACACATCAAACGATTGGAAATTTTTGCAGGTTTAGAATAATTTAAAAACTGAAAAGTTCCATTTTTTTATGATAAAAATTATATATTCTCAAAAATTACATGAGTTTAAAATAACATTTAATAGTCTTTTAACTTTGAATAAACAATATTTTGTTCTACAGACCCACTTTTTTCAATGATACATCTAGAGTAATTTACTTATAAAATGATCTAGAGAGTTATAATCAAAAAAAAATATCATATATTTTCTTCTAAAAATCTTAATATAGAATAATGTAACATTACAATAAATATTATAATACCGTTTCACACTTCTAATTTTCAATCGTTATTACGTATTTATTTTGAGAGATATCATTATTAATAGTTAAATATTAATTAAATTATTATTAATAAGGCTTTTTAAGCTCAATTTATTTATATCAATAGTTACTGAATACGATTTTAAAATAAAATAGTACTCAAAACGCAAGCAGTAAAACGTTAATTAATGTTATTTAAAAATACCTATTGGTGAACAAAAATATATTTTAGTATTAACTAAGAATGATAAGGAAGTGAAATAATTTTATTTACACTATTAATAAATACAGAATGTATATCAAGAACATTAAAACATGTTAAATTTTAGCAAAACATTAATGGATATTCGCATTAAACTTTCTGAAATTGTATACGATTCAAATAAGGATAGAAGTTGGTAGTGGTAACGTCCCTAATCCAACAAAACAAAACTTACTGTGTTATTGTGCTAGTATAATGACACACTTTAAATAGTACACATACAGTGAAGCAAATTAAAGCTAGAAGGTGATGGTTACGAGTGTGTGTTTGCGTAAATAATTTGGAAGCATTCAACACGTCGCGACAGAAACTAATGAATAGCCTTAGCTTCAAAAGTCAGTTGGTTTGAAATTAAGCTGTAAGACTAATGAGTAACCGAGAGATGTCAACTAAAACGACAAATACTGTCATGAGTATGCGGTTAAAATAAGTCCCAACTTGACTGTTAGGGTTTCTATACATCACTATAGTATTATTAAATGCGTTTATGGCTATCTATTATTCAAATAAAATACAAAAATCTTTATTCAGACTTACCTCGGGTTCTTCCATAAGCTTTTCGTGATGAATACTACTGGAATCAAGTGATCGTTTGTGTACATGTTTATGTTCGAAAAGATAATAACCTTCTAAACTTCCAATCTAAAAAAAATAAATATACATTTTAATATAATACAGTTTTACAATTGAATAAAAACGTGAACGAGTCAAAGAATTACAAGTTATTTATTTTTTAAATGTATGCCACTATTTTTTTAGAGGTAGGGCTAAAAATGAACAATTTTTACAGTTGCAGCAGCAGATAAAGGAAAATTATTAGTTTTTACAATGAGACTATTTCACTTTTGATAAAGAAAATAGATAATATTAAATATAACAAGCTTTTTATCTCTTCATTTTACTTTTTAGTTTGGTAAAATTTATGATACGAATTTAAGAACTAAAACAGTTATATAAGTATAAAGTAGTGAAATTCTACTTTTCAATGTTTCGTAAAATAAAAAGCGGCTATAATCAAAAATAAGGTACCTACATTTATTGAACAATATTAGAGTAAACATAAATTTATTGCAGTACTTTCAAAGTTATAATATTAACATTGAACACGAAAACTTTCATAATAGGACCTAGAATACTTAGAACTCACAAAGAAAAGATGGAAAACTTAACAGGTATATAACTCCAAAAGCGTATAAGTTTCAGTAAATTAACCGTTTAATTGGTCGAACGAAAAAAGTTTTAAAGAGATGTTTGCAGAATTATAGTAGTGCAAGAAGTCTAATAATGTTACCAATTACCAAAGTACCAACACAAACATATAGTTTGATCGATAATAAAAAAAGTTTTTAGTATGCAATTGACCTCTTTCGAGTTTTCCATTTCTCTAATGAATCCTATTGTACTATATGTTATTATTCCAAACGATTCCATAAACCGGTTAAAACGATTTTGCAAAACTAAATCTTATTAAAAAACAATTAACAAAATACCATATTCTAACTTCCTGACATAAAAAACCTACGAAAGTGTTCGTTACCAATTCATATAATAATGATTTTCATTATCTATGATTATTATTTTTTAAGTATTTGTTAACAGTTGAATATTTAACTAAAATTGACAAAACTTTCCATGCCGAATTGCAAACATATTATTTCAAATCGATTGCCGCTACAAACAAATTTTTGCATTGTTTAGGTATTAACCTATCCATTAAATAGTAAAAGGATATATTGTATATTCCCATATATTCTTTAAAATACCATTGCTTATATTTGCTCAAAATATACATACAATATTTTATTTACGAATAATGATATAACAAGTAACTGTAATATGTCATTACCTATTACATAGGTTGCTCCTTTCATAATATATACATGTTACGCATTTCATTATCATATATTTCAACAAAATATTCTTTCTGTATCGTTTAACATAAAATAATAAACCTATTAAAAATTTTCAAAAGCAACAATAAAGTTTTCTATAATTGACTTTTTAAACTTCAGAAATGATTGTTTGAAAGTTATGAACGATGGAAAATCACATGCGATTAAGCCATAAATTTAATTATGTTTATTTCAAAACTTGACTTTTGCACATTTGTATAATCAATTTCTTTGCGGTTTTTAACAGAATTTTAATATTCGTAGCAAGTTTGCCAAAATTCAATGCGTAACATTTAAATAACACTTAGTCTATAGAAAATGTTCAAAAACTAAAACGCTAAAAACATGTACAGACGTGATTAGTCTTTTTTAAGTCAAATAAAATAAAAGCTTCCCTCACAACTATAATTTTACAAAGTAGTTCTTAAGCTGCTAGTCTTTTATTATACCACCGACACCCTCAACTATATCAAAGTAGAAAATAGAGAAAACGTGTTAACATTTGACGAGGAGTTTAACTGGAACGTGGTTGGCATTCTATAGCATGATGTACAGTAACGGTGACTTTTATACGTGACGACAAAAATTATACAGAGAAATTAATACACTTCTTTATACTCTTTATGTGATCAAAATATACGCACATAAGTTACATTGTGTAACCCATACACAATACAATTAACAAACTTGCACAATAAAGGGAGCGTCAATGAACAAGTATGATCTTTAATGATCAGCTAGTAAATCATTAACGAGATAAATTTATAGATCAAGTACTGCAAAAGAATTTAATCTTAGCAAATATAGTTATATAAATGTAATTATAACAGTGTCACGAGGATCATAAATAACAACTATATATAAATAGTATAACTTTCAACACCCACTGAGTATAGTCAGTGGGTTTATTTTATATTAGTATAAAATAATAATATAATCGATATCAACTTAAATAGTTGATATGATTTAAATTTTGTAAAAGCTACTAACACATGACATCCCTTACACCTGTTTTATACTAACATATTTAAATATATTATAATATGCGGTTAAACAAATAAACATTAAAATATACGATCAATAAAAACAAAATAATGTCATTTAATAAAATAGTAATGTAATACATAGAAAGGCTTTTAACAAATCGTATATTCATATGCCAAAAATACGAATAATTTTCATAATCAACTGTATATTTTCTACAATAAATAACATATTTTCATGTATAAAAGACGTCGTTGTAGTTAATAGATATCATATCTTCAAAAAACTGAAATATGTGATATCTAAAAATGATTGTAGCTTTTAGTCGTCGTTTCGGCTAATGATTTTTTGAAAAAGTACAGCAACAACAGAAAATACATAAAAATGTAAACATACTTCCTGTTCATCTTTAGCTTAGATCCAAGTAAAACGACAAAAATGATGAAATGTTTTCTTGAAAATTTGTGAAAAGCAGAACTAATAACCAAAAAAAAAAATTAAAGCAAGAGAGAGAATTTCTATTTCATAATCTCATACTTATAGATTTGTTTTTAATTAAATAAATAATATGTATACACTATTAGTATATCTTGAAACCCTTAAATTAAATATATGAATAAAATTAAAGTTTCATTATATTTTTGTACCGAACGATAATGTATTTTTAAGGAAGAAAACTAATATGAATAATTTATATCATGAATTGAACAAATAAATAATAGGTTTGGTGCTAATTATCTGAAATAAATTGTGTTAAATTTACTTTGAATAAAAACATTCACGAGATTATAATTATGTACATTTATATTGAACGGAAAGTATTAGTTTACAGTCATTATTAATGTCAACAACTAGACTAAAAAATCTGTTTTTGTTTTCACTTTTTTTTTTCGTAAAAAAATAGTAGATGATCAAATAAAATAATACGTTTGCTTTTGAGATTTATGAAAAAAAAACTATCCAATCGCACACCATTGACTACTTAGTATATGATTCAGTGTAAAAAAAAACATATGAATCGTTTGTAGAAAAACTAATCCTTATTTTACACTTCCGGAAATGAATGACTCCGTATTAAAAATTTCAAATTTAATACATTATGATCTCATTACTACAAGCAATCTTACATTATTCCTTAGATGAACATCAACAACAAACGTATTTGATAAATACAAGACCTGTTTAATATAAATCAAATAATGAACATATTTAAAATAGATAAAAAGAACGTTACAAATAAAATTTAATGATTTAATTTAACACCCGCGAAATCCGGTCAATTAAATCTGAGGAAATAGTCCGGGAAATACGCTAGTTCTCATTTATCTGTATTAACGATCCTTTTCCCGTATTTGGCAGAAATCGCAGTATAACATACATGAACCGTGAACGATTAATAAACGTCGCAGTGGCAACAAACACCTACAGACAAATTTAGCTTTGGCAGATATTTGCTGTTGGCGTGTGATCATGCAATTGACAGGAATTAACCGAGTAAAACGGTAAATATTTTTTAGCTATAAAAAAAGGACATTAACGCCGAGGTATTACTTATATTCATTTATAACTTAATTAGATGACAAGATAACTACCAAAAAACCTTATCGTCGCTCTTGACACATACTACCTATTAGTAAGATTAAAAGAAAGTTCAAAAAAAAAAATTCAACGTAAAAAAGACCATAGAGATCATATTAAAACACATAATTTGTTTAACTGTGATTTAGTTAAAAGATTATATTACTAATCTTGTTATGTTTAATTTCTACAAATGTAATTAAATTATAACACATGATATAACCATCAAGTAGTTACAAATCACATCAAAATGATTTGTAAAGGAAATCTTAATACTTGTGATAAAAAATTTTAGTTAAAAAAATGATTTATAAAAATACGGCATTAAAATTATGACTTTTTTTGAATTACACACACAAAATTTAACTATGAATGACAACTCTGAGAATGCATTTTCCTAAAAAGAATCGTTTGATCCAAATTTAATATAAAATAATAAAAGAGAAAAAACTTTTTAAACCTTATTTAAGAACAGCTTTAAATATACCCTATTAACCCAATAAAAATCCCCTCTTTTTTTGTAAGATAAAATACACTTCCGATTTCTGAACAAAAGTTACAAAAGTAAAAACCACCAATTTTTTTTTCATCCCCTTTTAAAAATATAATACGTTTATTTCACTCTTATTCGCGTTACTTTTATATTGGTGTGGTAATATAATGGAATTATTATTATTCCTTATATTAGATTACTAAATAATATATTAGACAACTTTCATTTACTAAAAATGTAATTATATGAAACATAAATGGAGGATTATTAGTATAGGATTTTTTTCTCGAAAACTGAAGATAAAATTATGTTCAGCAATATCAAAAATAAGAATTTTTTTGATGACTAAAAAACCGTTATAAGAATAGCTTGGTTTGATACCTTAATATAAATAATAACAATGTACTTTTTATTGGCAGATGTGCTGCACCATATAGGGAACTAACGACATAGTCAGTAAACTATATTTTAAATAAAGACGTTTTTATAATAGCCACATTTGGAAACATTGTTTGCTAATGCAATTCGATATTTTATTTCTGTCATATTGATGTTTGAATTTCATTATTTATTTGGAATATTATTAATGAATATTTAAGTTAGAACAATCATTTAAAAATGTTACTATAAAAATATTAAGGATATAATAACATTTTTTTAAAGTATTTAGCTATATATCAAACAAAAAAAAATTT